ATCGTGTTAGAGAACAGTGAACATCTGAGCGACTGATCCTGTTATATGCTGCTGCTCTTTTGTTCTGCTGATGGAGAGGCAGAACTTCCACACTCTTTGCTTCTGTTTTCAGGGATGAGACAGGGGAACAGTCGATTCTCTTCGAGTCCATTTGTCTCTGCCACTTAGGGGTGGGTGGTCTGGGAAGTTGGAGTAGTTGTCACTAATGGTTCCCTAATGAGTGGTGCTGAGAGATCTAATGGGGCCCGCCAGAACAATGCCCTGCCTGGCACTAATGCCCCGGTGGTTTGATAATCGCCATCCTCTCCCCATAATCATATTTTAGCCTTCTTTCCAGCTTCGAGTGGACCTCCTTACCTCTCAGGCCAGTGCACAATTACAGCTATAATGTAATTGGACAAATGTGTTTACTATGGTGCAGTGAGGTGTTGTTGTTAGTCTCATGGTTGGTGTCTCAGCAGAACATAGTACGCTTCATTGCTGAAATATTTAGGGCAGTGCCACCAGTCAATTAAAGAGGCAAAAAAATAATAGCTCAGTTTTTAAACCACAGCAACCTGCCACAGTAATGTTTGGTTATATGTGGGATGGGGATCAATAAGTATTTTCATTGTCTTTTTATTGTTCTATATGCATTAAAAATTCATTAGATGTATTAATTAATCACAGAGTTCAACATGGGAACAAATATATGAATGGCCTTTCATAGCTTGTTTAAGAAAGCAAAGGGCAATTAAAAAACCAGACCAAAAGCAAAACATCTAAAATAATTTAAAATAATTAAAAAAAAAGTTAATTTGGAAAAAGTTGTCATTTTTTACATCAAATTAAAAAAGATCTTAGCCACACACTATCTTATTCTAAACTTCATTGATTAAAAGAAAGACAATGAATTTCCTTATTCTCTGTACTTGTATTAGTTGTTTAAGACATTTATTAAGAACACATTCTAAGGGATTGCTAGATCAAGCAAGTTGTAAAAAGGAAATCTATTTGACCATGTCCCCTTGGGATCTGGAAGCTTGTGTGTGTGTTTCTTTATTTTCTGACACATTATAAACTTAAACATTGAATCAATGTATTCTCTGAAGTTACTGCTCTCTCAAATGGTGCTGCCTGTCAGGATAACAGCAGGACTTGCGTGGGAAACTTGATTCTCTGAAATTTGCTATAAACACGGTTGACAGTTATTTGGTGGCTGTATTTGTTTTCATAAACTTGTCTTTAAACCGGTCTGTGAGAAAGCCATATCCTCTGTGTTCCACAAATATATCAAACAATCCTCAACTTTTAAATGTGTGAGGGGACGCTGTCTGAAGTGTGTGCCAGCCCCGCTGCATCCAGGCTTAATTTATTTTATAATAATATACTAATTTTTCTCACATTTCACCAGAACTGTTTTCACTTTAATGTTTCCCTCCTGTCTCGCACATTTTAGCCTGCAGTGCATTTTTTTGTCTTTTCTCCTGAGCTGATGAAGTTGGTTTGCAGCAGGTAGAGACATGCCTGCATTCATTTTCTATATACAGGCCTCAATGATCAGTCCCGTTGACGGGGCATATAAATGTAAAATGGCGCTTGGCAGCAACTCCATAGACACCGCATTTTAATAGACTGTGCTGATTTGACTACCAATCACAGCTGTGGTGCATTCAGGGCCTGGTCACAGTCTGGTTGTGCTGGCGTAGTCTGCTCAGCAATATTTGTGTATGATTTGTCTGAGCTGCAGGAAAGAATAAAAACTGCAAGCATTTCCCGATGTTCTTTTAGAATTGCTTATCACATCTTTTGTTAATTTACAAATGATTGAGGATATATACTATATGTTTTGTGTGTTTAATCCTTTTTTTCAAAATGCATTGAGAAAGATCTTGCACCATTATAACTTTAGACAAAGAGGCAAACAACAATGCATGCGGAGTTGAGTAGGTCATGTTGTTATTTGTGCACTGTTCAGATCCCATTTGAACTCTCATGCCACCATGTTGTGATAGAGCGGGTGAATTCAAGTATTGCAGGATGGCTATTTTGTTACATTTTCCACAGGATGTGTGGGTTTAGCCTCAGCTTTCACTCCTCCCCTGAACGTTGAGAACAGCTAACAAACAGGAAGCAGAGAGGTTGCGAATATGCTCGTCAGGAAATGAAATCCCACAGGTTGTGTGTGGGCTTACATTTACACTGCCTTATGACAGAAAAAGCCACGCAGGGACAGAAATAAGAAGAGAGGAAAACACGGCTGGCTCTTCCAGCTTTCCCATCATGTGTTTTCTGGATGTGTGTGTTTTACTGGCAAGAGAGGATGTTGATAGTAGTTCAGCCCCGATAAGAATCAAGGCCAGCAGCATTGGAGGACAAAGGCATGCATTGTGGGTAGAAATAGCACTTCCGCTTTTGAGGAAAAACATTGAGAAGCCTCCACATTGGCCTAACCAAACATTTAATGTTGATAAATGCCAATAAATCAGAATGGAGATTATTTAAGAAAGCTGATCTATTGTGTTCATAGTGATGGATTGTGTGTGTTTGTGTGCGTGAAGCTGCAGGATGTGTATGCTGCGGACTCGTCTGTATGTTTGCTTTACACTGAAGCTGTGTGTGGTGGCAGACCTCGCCATACGTTCTCCAGCCTCCACCCAGCCACATCCTCTGCTCCCAGCATTCCTTCACTGAAGCTTTAACACAGCCAGCAGACTGAGCTGTTTCTGGGATATTAAGGTCCTTTAGGGGGATCAACATTCATTTGAATTCCGTTACTCGATAGCGAGGCATACACCTGACCCCACTCGTGCACAATACAACAATTACAGGTTGTTTTTTGTGGAAGAGACGAGGCTAGGGGCGGTTTTAACTGGGCAGTGCAGTGGCTCCCAACCTCGGGGTAAATCTACAGGCTCGTCACAACTCATGTTCATACGGCAACCTCTAATGGGTCTTTTCTTTTTAAACAGTAATGAACCAACTAATGGAGTGAATATGGGCTCTTAAGGTGTTTATTTATTTTCTTGCTTACATATCTACTTTACTTTGTAGTTTCGAGGTAACTCAAAGACAAAGTGCCTGATCATAAGATAAGAAGTACTTTATTGATCCAAATTTGGGAGTTTTTTGTGTTGTAGCAGCATAAAAAGACAAGGCATTGTACATTAGAGAAATTAAAAGACTAGAAATAAACAATCCAAACCTTGATCTGCAGGTTTATTTTATTCAGATTTGAATAACGATACTGATAGTCATAGCATGATCAAGTGAACATGTTATTCCTTCTGGCATTTCAATATGATCTGTTTAGTCGTGTAATCCAGGATATAAATCACCACTCCATGTCAGAGCCGGCTGTACCCTACAACACATGGGTCCCGTACTGACAGCAGTGAGAGCAGCTGTGTCACTGGGCCTGCAGAGGGCTCCAGGTTGACTCTCAAAGATATGCAGACGTGAGGGAAGCGCTCACATCTGCTCTGTGATGCAGACGCTCCCGGGGCAAGTCAACACTCATGCTGTACCAACACGACGAGGAGGAATGCTGTGCAATCTTTGGGCATGAATCATTTGGGATAATGCCGGTGGTGGGATTTACTAAAGTACATTTACTCAAGTATTGCACTAAAGTACAATTTTGAGGTATTGAGTATTTTAATGATATGCTACTTTATTGTTTTACCTCACTTCAAGCCAATATCGTTTCTTTTTATTTCACTACATTTATCTGATAGTTTAAGTTAATTTTTACTTTACAGATTCAGATTTTTTAACACAAATAAAAAGTGATCTTCAGGACAGACTCTATTGTTAAACTGGGGTTTGGAGGTCATGATGAGGGCATGACTCATCGGGAGAGAAGACCTGGCTCAAAAGTGCTGACTCATACCAACAGCTCATAACTACCTCACTGTGGTGACCGGATGTGTCTGGAGAAAAAGATAGACTTCCTAAAAATACTGCTCCCCGTCTGGTTCAGTACATTTTTCTTTCTTGGTTTTTCTTGACATGTTGAATCTGAAGTTACTGAAAACGATGTATAGTCTTTGGTAGAAATGTGACTTTTTACTAAACTTTTTTCTTGGAAATGTGCCCTGTTTGGGGGCAGACCTTATTTATTTATTTATTTTTTTGCTGCTAACTATAATGTTTAATAATATGAATTCATTACATTTTTATTAGAGTGCTTTACATGACATATCACACACATTAGACATGTAACAGTTTATTACTGTGGACAATACCCACTATGAGTCATATCCCTTTTTATAAATACAGTCTATGGTCATATCTTATGTTCCCTTCTAAAACACTGTTTGTGAATGTTTAACATTTGTGTATTGTAATTATTTTATTAGGACTGGGTGTCAACCATCAGTATCGTACCAAGGAAGTGGTGTTATCAATTCTAATACAGATCACCAACTAAGACAGATTTCTCCCAAAATGTTTCAAATAGTCCACAACACCACAATGTGACAATCCTGATTAATCACACATCTGATTAACTGCTGAAACAATTTCAAAACATTCATCTTCTACTTAGTAATATATATCTACTATCTAATATATATCATTCCAATAACTTGTATATAGACTCGTACTGCACTATTCCACATGCTCACTTTATTTTAGAGCTATTTTTCTTTTGTATTACTTTTACTATCTGTATTATTATGTTGCATTGTTGGAGAAGCCTGTGACATAAGATTTTCAACGACATAATTACTCTGTAGTTATGTCAGTTTGACAATAAAGAACCTTGAACCTTGAATAAAACAGCTCTCTGTATTTAAAGACACGTGGGCAATAGGATATAGACTTTCTTTATATTGCCCTGTGAGCAGGAGGCAGGGAAGGGAATGACCACTGGGTGGAGCCTCTATGGTAGTGACAGCAAAAAAGAGAAAGGGAGGCAGTGAGTAAGACTTCCTAAATGGACTGTGTCAGTGTGCTGAGAGCATGCTGGGAGCTGATAGCAGAGCGGTACAGTTGAGGAAAGCCGGCAGTGTCTCTCTGTGACTGGAGGAGCAGGCTCCTTCTCTCCGCCGCCTGTCATGTGGACTTCTGGCCCGCCTGCGTTACGCCACAGGAGCTGACAGAAAAGAGGACTTTTTTTATATCAAGGAACAGAGATAAGGTGATAGAGAAGGAAGAAGAGCTCTCTGGAAAGACACATAATTTGCTCTTTGGAGGACTCTCTTACAGGTTAGCACTTACATTTGTTTGCCGTCATGTGTTTTTTAAGTTGTTCTTGTATTTTCTTCCACTCTGTTTGTAGAGCCTGTTATTTCTGGTCCTTTGATGTCAATTTTAGACTTTGGTCAGTTTTCATTGATTCTGTCCAACCACAGCCATGCTTTGATTAAATCAGTGAAGTTGGGGTTATAGTGTGCTGTCCACATAAAAAGCAGCTAGGATGAATCATTTAAAGTGCTAGGGGTTGGACTTTTTGTCTGCTGTCCTGTCATTCTCCACCCTGGTTTGTTGTGTTGTGGTTAAGCTTAGTGGATTGAACTCCACTCAATGACACTTAAGATGAATGAGAGCTGATGCAGCCAATGACTGAGCAGTGTGGTCAGTAGGGTTGAGGATCGCTGTTTGTATTGCTGTTGATGGTTCGATTTTCCAACAATAAATGTAACATAAGAGGCAAGGTATTTATGACCACATGTCAGACGGTGAATTCACTTAACTAATGTTCTCAGTGCCACAAAAGAAAGCTGGGATGAACAATAAATAAATGTCAGGGCAACATTTAAAGCCAAGGATGCTTCAGCCACCAGTCCCCTGCCAGGGCCTTGTTGAGGAATTCCATCAGAGGCCACTTTCAGACACAAAGGGAAATCTGTGATCGTCCCACATCTCTTCCCACTATCTATGTGTTCTCCTGCCACTTGCCGTCCCACGCCTCCCAGGCCAAACACTGGACTTGTTCTCCTGGTATCTCCCCTCTCTCAGTCTCTCCTCACATCCTCCTACCCTCACACCAGGTCAGGTTGGATGCTTTGTGGCTTTCTGATCCATACCTGGTGGTCCAGTTTGGTAGAAAGGGATCTGAAGGTCAGAGGTGAACAAGTTCTATCGGGCCGGTGCCCATATTCAGGACTGGCATTCCTTCACAGCCCATGCAAGGCTTTGTTGCAAGCTGTCTGGTTCAGAAGATGAAGGTGTATTTGTGTGTCTGCGTCTGTGTGTGTGGTTTCAAATATATATGAGGGACAGTCCCCTTGGGGTTTACTGTAGTAATGAGATTCAGTCTCGGATCAGAGATCAGCGGATGAGACGTTCTGAATCGGCCTTTGTTGTTCAAACAGCAGAAAAGATCAGAAAGGTTTTTTAGACCCCGGTTTACCCGTGTGTTTGTGCCTATCCCAGCTCACATTATCGATTGTTTGTGTCCGCGTGTTTTGTGCTGAACGCATTAAACCTCATCATGAAGTGGACTGTTTCTTGTTACAGCTTGTGCTCTCATTGGTTTTGGCTAAGGGTCGATTGATTGGAGCCTACAGGGACCTCGGTGGGGTGAAGGGCGCATTTGGCAGTTTTAAAGGAACGGGGGGTGGGGGGAGGTGGATGTATTAAACTGATTAGATTGGCTAGAAAACTCAAAGAAAGTCGGGAATAAAGATGGAGTAGATGAGAGGAAGAAGACTAAGGCTAATCAAGCCTAATTAAAAGATTTTGAGGAGACACAGAACGGATGGAGAGAGAAACTAAAGTGTCATTCATCTGCCTTGATTAGTGCGTCCACTTCATCAACATGAAATTATGTCATTATGGACAGACACGTGGCTGCAGAAATAGATTGCATATTCCTTCATACATAGATCATAGGCACCATAGATACATTCACTGATGTCTCCATCTGGTTCAGTAGATATAGACAGAATAGATCCGGTGTCACACTAAACTGTGGAGCACATGTATATATTATTAAGTCCACCTAAGTGTTCATCTTGTGACCCCGTCCAGTTACTGTGTCACTAGGGGCAACTAGGCGATGATTTGTGTCGTTTTGAGCTGAGAGGAGCTCCCTAAATTGGGTCACATCTGCAGGGAGGGGGGGGTCTGAGATATCCTACAAGCACTTAAGAATTTAATTTCCTTATTTTCCAAGGAGAGTTCTTCAGTGATCTGGGTGGAAATGAGACGTCTGCCTCTTCTGCCATGATGGAAATCAGGATGTGTATTAGTGGGCTCCGCCGCTGTGGGAGAGGGAGCTATAATTGGTAACTCCCTTGATGTCAGTTCTCCGCTGACCCAGCCCTCACTAAAAACGACTTTGCCCATCTAGGAACTCTGCAGATGCTTAGAAGCCAAAAATAAGGACATACCCGGTCAAACGGTTGAATGGTTTTTAAATAAAGCACCTTAGGGATTTAACAACGGTAAAACATGATGTTTCGCGCGAACAGTTTGTGTAAAACAAAATGTTTTAGTAAGGGATGGCCAACTTAAAGGGGACCTATCATGCAAAATGCACTTTTTTATGTCTTTTTTAAATGTGTCCCCGGTGTGTCAGGGAACTCGCGCAGCGTCAGAAAATAAAACCCTCTCTTTTCCTCCGTACCCAAATCTCTAAAAACGGGGCTACAACGGAGCTGATCTAGATTTGCGTCCGATATGACGTAATATCGGAAATGTAGGCTGGCTTTACACCCACGGCCCTATCAGAAATGTTGCTATCAGAAACAATGCCCGACTGTTTTGGACGTAATATGGTCGGTGCATGTTTACATTAGCATCACTAACACTCAGAGCTAACCTGTACTGCACAGAGCATGTGTGTGAAGAAGTTGGATATAAAAAGGAACTCTATATATACTTGTGGTATAACCGGCAAGAGAGAAAGCCTTTGAGCTCCATACTGTTTCAGACATAATCCTTGATAATCCATGATATGGCGTTTCACCACGGCAGTATTTAGTTTAGACGGTAGCTGCCGGGTCCCGCATGAGCTCAGCCCCCTCCTTTTTTGTTTTTTATCAATTCTTTTTTTTTAAAGCTTTATACCCAAAATCAGCACTTTTGAAACAGGAAGTGAAATAGAGGGATATGAGGCATGGCTAGAATGGTTGATCTGTTTGGTATTTTGAGCAAAACACTTCAGAGACATGTTTTTTATATATTTTCATATATCTGAGACCTATGCTATTGCCTAAAAATAGCATGATAGGTGTACTTTAAGGGACTTTAAGGGAACATAATGAGTGTAATGAGTAATACATACATTTTATTCAGCACTCTGTATTAATGAGGGCCACTGCACTCACAATATACTGTCCCAGATTTGGCAAAAGGACACGCATCATTTCACACCGCCTTGGTGTTATGAAGTTCTTTAATCGACAGTTAATGTATAACATTTCTTTAAAGCCTAATGTTTAGCTGTCATTTAAGTATCATTTTCTTTTATGATTGCCGTACCTTGTTTGCCAACACAGACGATGGGTGCTTTCCAAACGTGTTTTCACTGATGTAATGGATTCATTCTGAATATCAGCGCGGACAGTACCAGTCAGATGGTGTTATTGTTGAATGTTGAAACAAAAAGCAAGTTGTTTTGTGCTGACACACTGCCAGGCACAGGATGAGAAGCACTGTTTTGATCAGGGCGTGTGTGTGTGTGGGTGTTATGCATGTATATCAGTGCATGTGACTGTACCCTGTTCTATGTGCACGACTTAACTTCTTGTATGCACGCCTCCGTGTGCATGTGATTTCCTAGAATGACCTTTCTGAGCAGCGCGAGTGAAGATGTGGGCGGCCCGTGTTTCTCTTTCAGACCGTTGAAGTCACCGCATACAGGTTTTCCCCAGTTCGGATTAGAGGGGCTCCTAAATTGACGTATAGACAGAGCGGATGAGTAGTGATACATTTTGTAAACATGAAGGTAAAAATGCCACATTTCCTCTTATCGTCCTCTCACTGAGTTGTCAATACATGGATCCTAATCTCGATAAAAGATGATCAGCTTTCACTGGGTTTGTGGTACAGAAACAGATTTAAAGCCATCACTCTTTCTATACCTCTTCAATTCCTGTCTGTCCTGTTGAAAGCGTCTTTCATTGACATTACCAGTAGGGCTGTGCAATTAATCGTATTTTAATCTCAATTACTATTTTGGCTTGCAACGATTACGAAAACAACGTAATCGAAATAAAACGATATATTTTTTTTATTGGTTTTTCAGTTGAATTATACTTAAAGTTCAGGATAATCAACTCTTAAAAACATATTGTTCACATTTTCTTTTTCAATAAATGGATGTTTTCAAAGTAAATGGATAATCGTTTTTAATAATTGTGATATCAATTATTGACCAAAATAATCGTGATTATGATTTTGGCCATAATCGCACAGCCCTAATTACCAGTACAGAGGATGGCAGAATGACAGCCAGCAGCGTTCCCAGACAGAAGAAAAACAAGCAGCATTGACATACGTGGACGGGCTCCCCCCTCATCAGCTGGCTTCAGGAAAATGACACCCACTTGGTGCCCACCTCAGGAACATGCGTTGGTGGGGCCTTTCCTTTCCCTGATGTGGTCTTGATCCTTTCAGCTGAAGTTAGAAAGGCAGTGACGCGTGTACCTCATTGGCTGCTTGAGTAAGTCTGATTGTGTGGCTGACAACAGATGACATGTGGGGTGGTAGGTTGAGAAATCCTGCCCTTTAATCGCAGGACCAAGGCTTCATCCTCCGTCTGCCCGGCTCATGGGCTAAGATACCGATTTGGAGAAGGTCCTTGTTTGTGCTCTTGAGACAGAGATGGTTTCCTCAAATGATAACGTTCCTTTGCTCAGTTTCTTTTAAATTATAGTCCTTTTCTGCCGCTCTTCTGTCCTGTCTCCTTCACTTTGTGGTCCTACTTTAAACCAGGAATGCTTTGGTTTGGTTGGTTCCCGATTTCTTCTGCATCCACCAGCCGTCCAAACTGACATCATACTTCCAGAAAAGGGAAAAAACGTCCTGCTTTAAGCTTGTCCTCCCCATCGCTCTGATAAACTCACAGCCCGCTCTGCATTTACTCAGCGTGACATTTACTGACCCAGTCAAACTTAGACAGGGTCAATAAATACTGGTAGAGCACATACTTAAACCTGTCAGCACTTGGCTTTGCATCTGTGTGTGTGTGTGTGTGTGTGTGTGTGTGCGTCTGTTTATGCTTCTCAGTCTGTATCAAAACATTCAAGTCTTCTCCAATGTTAGCTGCAATTGAGGGAACTCTCTGACCTAAAACAAAGGTCATCCAAGTGCTTGTCTGATATCAGCTTCATTTGTAAGTGAGAACAGTTTTGTTTCCATGGATACCATGAACATTAGGGCTGGTTTGCCAGGGAGACTGTAGGCTGTGAGGTATGATGTGTGTGTGTGGACGGCCATGCTCCCCCAGCTCTCTGAAAAAAGACGGGAAGACAACATGGCTTTGTTTTGGGGATCCTTATCAGCCCCACTCTAAGGCTCTTGCTTTGGACTTCCATTGTCTGTATCCCTGTGTTAAATATAAGCAGGCATTCCATTTATGTCATCATGGGTATTAGCCTCAATATGTTAAGGTGAGCATACCTTCTGTTATTAAAATAATTGCTTCCCATTATGCATATCTTTCTTTCTCTAGGATAACATTTATTGAGGATTTTAAACTAGGATTAATTCTTCTTTAAGGGAAAATTAAAAAAGCTGATATGTTTTGCTGTAAAGTTGTTTGTGTGTCAAAGCACACGGAGCTTATACTTTCCGGATTGTTTGCCTCGTCCTTGTTTTATTGATTGCTGCGCCAGATTTAGTTGAGCTTTTACCCTTCATTTCACTGACCTCTCACTGCAGGTACACTGCGTCAATGTTAACGATGCGTTGTGGTTTTATTCGGATGATGTACTCTACGGTAGAGGAAAGGATAAAGTTGTAGAAAGAGGGAGATTTCTCTCGGGTCATCGTTTGGTATACAAGGTTATGAAATGGGTAATCTGAAACCTTGTGTTGAAGATTCCTCTGGACTCAGCTTTCATTACTCTATAACCATTACCTTGTTAACCGTTTGCAGAGATCCACAGAGTCAACCTTCGCCTCGACCCCTTTAACCTTTGAACCCTGCTAGTGAGGTAATGAGAGGGCACATGAGGGGGCTCATGCTTAGGAACTGGGGGAGTGAGAGACAGTCATGACAGTGTCAGTGTGCAAAGAGTTTGTCACTAAGGATCTTTTGTTTTGTGAAATAATGTTGCAGTATCTACAAAAACACATGGTTTGGTTCTCTAACCTTAGAGGGTGCAGACTTTCCTTATTATTTTACAGGAAGTTCAACTTAGTTGAACTTTAAAAAAAACATTGTTATTACAAGTTAATTATTAATGCATTTCTTCAGCAGGTGAAAACAAGTTTGAAGGTATTTCAAATACTCGTAGCAATACATAGAGAGTTGCAATTTAACTTTGTCCTCTCGCCTTTCTTTAGGAGACTTAAGTTTGAGATTCTGAAATAGTACGGCGAAATGTCTTCAAACGCAGGGCTAAAATAAAAAAAAGCAGAGGTTGTGCTTAGATTGCTGTTCTAGTTACGCTGCTGGTGTCCCTTTATGCTAGTAGGGCAGGTTGTCCATCCGTCAGGACACAGAGCTCGCCCCTCAGTACTCAGCAGAGCTTATTATAGCAGCCTACAGTGTGAGTGACGGCAGCTCTGAGACCTGTCACATCTGTGTTTCTCTGGGGCTCAGTGCTGCCTGGCTGACCTGAGCGGTTTCCTTCAGTCTGACAGTTCACACCTAAAAGTTTGATCCTCTTCAGAGTGCACCTTGCTGCTGAACACTTGATTTACTGTGTAGATGTTTCATACGCTGAGTGTTCCTCTCCTCTTAGGTACAGATACAGTATCTGCTACTGCTGAGAAACAGCTTATATGACTGTCATTGAAACAGCCAGACTCCACAAACTTTGCCATGTCACCCTCTGATATCAAGGAGAATTATAATGGCATTTCTGTGCAATGAGATACGCTCAGGGACACGCCTCATGAGACGCATACGCATAGAGAAGGTACATTATTTTTGGGCGACTGTCCTAACCCTTCATCCTCTCTCCTCCCTCCCCAGTGCCGGACGACCTCACCCCCGAGGAGCAGCAGGAGCTGGAGAATATCCGCCGGCGCAAGCAGGAGCTGCTGGAGGACATTCAGGTAATACTGGAATAACATACTGGGGGTTTTGTTATGATTATGTGCACAAATTGCTCCGAAACAGTAAATGGGCTTACAACTCATTTGCTCCGGTTTGACTGCACAAAATGTTAACCTTAAGCCTTTTTACTCTCGTTTATTTACTTGTCTCAGTACAAAAAAGTGTCACGACAACAAATACTATTCAAGTTGGCTGAAAATACTTAATATTTAATCTGATTGGACTAAATATCACTTAATATCACAGTTGATATAATCTTAATAGAATAATTCAGTCAACCGCCCATCAAAAGGACCAGTCTTGAGATTTAGGGGCTCAAGGGGGAAAGGGGATTTCATTTTCAAACTAACAATGTCCAGACATTTGGCATCCTTCCACTGCCTTCAGCTACAACTGGGACTCCTCTGTTTTTGGTTAAACATTTATCTTCTAGCCAGTTGTACAAATGTTCCTTTTGCAAGGAATCCATTTAAAACATTTCAACCCGATTGGAATGTGAGGTATTTCCTGCCAAGGGCTCACTTCCTTAGCTAACCATTTCTTACTGTTTAGCCGTTTGTGTTTTTGTGGATGCACCGTGTAAACAAAGACCTATGTTTATGGATGCAAGCTATCTCTTAATGATGTTTTAATTGAAATGTGTTTTTGAATAAAAAACAAGATAAACACACAGATGAAAAAGGGATCAGGCTCTCAATAGGAACATGCTCATGCAGCCAGTCAAATATCCTTCGTGTACTTTCCTATTTCCAAAGAGAGCCAGGATTCAAAGCAGCTTGGCCGAATTTCCCTAAAGTGGTTTGTTTCATTCCTGTCCTCGGCCTGAGATAATATTTTGATCCTGCCTCGGAGAAGAGCTGCTTGTTGAAGCGAGCTGCTCAGATCAGACCTGTCACTCAGTAACCAGCTCCGTAAGCAATGGATACTCAGGCGTGACAGTAACGTCCTGCTGTGTAGAGTTGGCCTCCAGACGTCCCGGTGGCCCCTCACCTTCCCCTGGCCCTGACCGACAAACACTACAGGCATGCTCTGACACCCTCTCTTTTATGAGCCCCCATCCCTGCCCCTCCCACCCTCTCTCGCCACCACTGCTCTCCTTTCCTCTCCTCTCATTCCTTGTAGTCGGCACACTGACCCCTCTCCTCCTCCTCGACTCCCACATGTCAAGGCCCCCCCCGAACACAAACACCCACTTTCCCGTATGAGCACAGCCTTTGTTTGTGGAGGCAAGCATCTGAGGAATGTGTTAGAATTGCGCAGGCCTTCAAAACACAGATGTTCCCTTTGTGGTTTGGCCTATGGTGAGTTGGTATTATGGATGAGGAATTATAATAAACTAATGCCACAGCTGGATTTGAATGGGGAGGCTCCATGATTGTAACCTTTTAGTCGCAGCCTCTCTTGATAAAGGGTAAGCTCTATCTGTATACAGGACTCCTCTCATGCTACAGTCTATTATTCCACACTTTCATCAAGCTGACATCACCCTGCGGCAGCCTGGCACCAGCCATCCTGGCCTGATCGACTAAACCTGAGACCATTAATCTCTAAAACGCTACACAAAATACAATCCACTTTTACGCCATCTCACTCATTTGTATTGCGGTTATCCCTGAATGTTTTCCGCCTAATCGAATCCCCGATGAGAGGATTGCTTGGAGAGAGCGCACACACGCAAACACATGTGTCTATATGAGATTAACTGTAGACAGTTGATATCAGTTTTTTGTTTAAGAGAACTAAGGAGAGCTGGCAGGGCACCAGTGTGTGATGCTTCAGCTCATCAGGAGCCTCTCTTTGTTGAGCTGATGGTTTCCGATGTGAGTATTTATGAGATAAAAGGCCGGATGTGATAAAAGGCCACCTGGCTTATAGACAAACAGGTGATTCAGAGATGATGGCCTCTCCCTCGGCACTGTTTAATAGAGACAAACAAATACTTTGCATGTTTGTGTTTGTCACACGCTTCTCCTGGGTCAGGGAAATTAGCTGGCACATGATGAATGACATTTTAAGTCTTAACGTTTTTTTCTCTTTTCTGCAGCGGCTGAAGGATGAGATAGCAGAAGTGACAAGTGAGATCGAGAACCTGGGTTCCACTGAGGAGAGGTAAGAAAAAAGGATCCGCCCCTTCTCGTCCCCTCCCCCCTTCGCACACAATCTCCCTCTGTGTCGCCTATATTGGCTTGTTGTTTGCCTTCTATTAACTTAGCAAATGAAGCTATCAATAATGAATGTTTGATGGGCAGGTCTGGTGATCTGGTCACACCAAAATGGCTCTCAAAATTGGCAATGCTGCTTTTAAGGCAGTTTTAAATGTTTCATCAGGCGCACCCCCATTATGAGAGGCCTCAGTGAATAATGCAGTGGGTGTACGGGCAGAGGCAGACAATGGACCGTCCCGGGGGAGGGAGGCTTGATGTTTGGACTACTCAAGTGGATAGGGATCCCATCAACTACCGAATTATCTTTCTTGGATATAAAACCCATTAAGGTTTACTGCACTTTCTTACAATCAAAGTTTCCTTCAATCCATTTTTGAAGGAAGTGCATTGTAGTCTGTGTTGCCTCTGTGCAGTTGAATGTCAGACTTTGGCAGTATATAGCCCAAGGAATGCTGCTGTGAGTGAATCAGTGGGAAGAAGAAGTGGCGACCTCTCACCGGCTGGAGATGGAGATGTAACCATGGTGACAGCGGACTCTTTGAGTGCACTTTGACCCCTGAATTACTCCAGGCATGGGAAATGAGACGTTCCCATATGCATGATGTTAAACGCCTTATCAAGTATTTGTCATCACAATGGAGGGGGAGGACAGGCCAGTCTCTGCCAAACAAATGAAAAATGTTTATGTGAAAGACACTTTTAGGAAGTGAAGCAAATACATTTAGTGTTACTGGCCGAGCCTTGTGAAATCCATTTGTTGGATTCGTATACCAAAAAATCTAAATGTATTCCCCTCAGGGCAATAGTTCTTTTTTTTTCAAAATTACCAAAAATCACTAGATTTAACTTCTCAAACAAGAAGATTGTCTTAGATCTTCTGTGGTATTGTATTGAATATATTTGGGTTTTGGTTGGTTTGGTGTAGTTTCCAACAAGGTGATATTTCAGAATTATTGATAATTAAAGTAGTTTAGTTTGAAGCCCTTCCTATATACCAGAGTTTGTTTATATACAACATTGTGTGAACATAACGTCGAACTTAAAAACAACCTACACTCTTGTGTTCCAGGAAAAATATGCAGAGGAATAAACAGGTGGCCATGGGCCGTAAGAAATTCAACATGGACCCCAAAAAGGTAGGTTGAAGAAACTGTCGGGATTCTTCAGAAATGTGATTTGGTCCACATGCTCTGATGAACCGGAAGTAACCTGGGGGCCCTCTCTCTTTCTCAGGGGATCCAGTTCCTGATTGAGAACGACTTGCTGAAGAACACCAGCGACGACATTGCTCAATTCCTCTACAAAGGCGAGGGCCTCAACAAAACAGCCATCGGAGATTATCTCGGAGAGAGGTGAGGATGAAGACTGATCTTTATTTTCCACTATCTAACCATCTTCCACTCACACTCTATCATGACTCACCAGCACCCATCCATGTGGTTGATAAAAGCCTTGAATGGCGAGTGCATATTTTCCGTATTGCTGTGTTTCCTCTTGGTCAGGAACACACCCTTCCTTTCAAGTTTACTGGAACCACATTTACCCTCTCAAGATGTTTGTTACTCCATCTGTCTTTGATTATCTTACTCATTCATATAACACGATAAAGAAACTTGACAACGCACGTGTTGGAAGACACTCCAGACCGTCCCTGTTAGAGTGGAAACATAACAGTTATGGCCTGATGTACAGCACACGCTGCTCAGGGACTACAGGGCCGGCAGAGTTACAGTCAGGGTGTGGTCTCCGAGGTCAGACCAGGAAATGGAGCTCAGGCTGTGGATGGACGCTCTAAGTATGATTGTTATCACCTCTCCAAGTGTTTCTGATTCTACAAAGAGAGGCTGAAATGGCGTGAGAGCCTTGAGACACGATTGGTCACTCGTCCACTGGGAACAGTAGTGACTGGATAACTGTCAGCGAGAGGTCCTCAGAGCCTTCCCATGATCCCACAGGGAAGATCATTTACTCTGAAGGGCCTGAAGGTCAGGGATGATGTCATGATCGAGATTAGATGATAAATGAGAGGGGGGTGGCGGGTGTTTTCCCTTTCCTATTATATTTGATGGAATAATGCAGAATACAACAGACCTCAAGCCTTTAGTATGAGAGTCAGATCACACTCCTGATGGAGTCTACTTTTCAAATGAGGCAGTGAACAAACTTTAGAAGAATAATAGGAAGAATTGATGATGAGTATAATCATAATTTGCAGCATTAATCTTCTGTATTTTTCTTTCTTGGTTAATGCCGAAAAAGCCATGTTAAATGTTAACCAGTGATACAATTTGCTCTGCTTTTGTTTTTGTCCCTGTAGAGATGACTTCAATCTGGAAGTCCTTCATGCCTTTGTGGAGCTTCATGAGTTCACAGACCTGAACCTGGTTCAGGCCCTCAGGTAAGACATCATCTCCCAAGAAACGTACACCCCTCACATCTGTGCTTTTCAGTGTTGTTCCTTCATGAGAGAGCTATATCAGCCTTTTCACAGTGGAAGTGAGTGTTGCTGAATGCTGACTGTGTCCCCTGACAGACAGTTCCTGTGGAGTTTTCGGCTACCGGGAGAAGCTCAGAAGATCGATCGCATGATGGAGTCTTTCGCTCAGCGCTACTGCCAATGCAACCCTGGCGTTTTCCAGTCCACAGGTACAGCGTCACGCCATGAAGACAAGCTTTCAGTGCTGTCATGAAAATCCAAAGAGCTATGGATGTGTGGGCAGTGAAACAAACAACATAATGTATTCAGATTTAGGTTAATTTATTCTAAAATATAGCCATCAGCAATATTAATAATAACAACCTATTAAAACACTTATTTTTCTTAAAGCAGATAAACTTGTTTCCTCCCTGAAGCACTTCATTTTTCCATAAAGCATTGAGATCTAATGGCATGTCGACGGAACTGATATCTAAAGTGCTCGGTTCAGCAGACACAACGTCTGCTGAGGTGAGCTGTGCTCTGCAGCAGCGTCTGGCTTTTGGGAAATAATGTCCATATCAGACAGCAGCCTGCCTCTAACATGGATGCAGATGGATGTGAATAATGCATGCTCCTCAACAACCTAACGGGCCCGATTAAGTGCTGCTGCATCAGCCTTGTGCTGGCCTCGTTGACTTTTAGTAAACACACACATTAGAGTGCACGTCCAGAAACACACATGCATACTTAGCTGCCCACTCGCAGCCTCTCACTCCCGCCCACTCTCCCTGCTAACGAAGCTTCGCCTATCCGCTCCTCTCTGTTCCACTGTGGTCCCCTAAGTGCAGTCCTTTCAGCTCGGCTAATTTACATTTATATTTAAACATTAGACATTAAATTAGACATTGGCTGCAGTTTTATGGTAAACAGCAACCTTTTGCTCATCTCTCTCTTATAATTGTGTGTGTGTGTGTGTGTGTGTGTGTGTGTTACAGACACCTGTTACATCTTGTCATTTGCCATCATCATGCTAAACACCAGCCTCCACAACCCGAACGTGAAGGACAAGCCGGCTGTGGAACGATTCATCTCCATGAACAGAGGAATCAACGAAGGAGGAGACTTACCTGAAGACCTGCTCAGGGTCAGTATGGCTGTAACGCACAGATATTGTGAATGACTCTTCCACAAGCTCTGTGTTTATACTCCACTCCCTGTGTTGTAGAATCTGTATGATAGCATCAAGAATGAGCCTTTCAAAATCCCAGAGGACGACGGAAACGACCTCACACACACTTTCTTTAACCCAGACAGAGAGGGCTGGCTGCTAAAACTGGGTGAGTGAAACTGGAAATACACGTGCACATTTATTTGGGTACAAAATGTATTGCCAAGATAATGGTGTTCTCATGTATGTGTCTGTGCAGAATGATTACGTTGTGTTTTCATAAAGGCACATGTTGCACAAAGTGATAATCAATGTTTACCGTGTGTGTGTGTACGTTAAGGTGTGTATGAGCTGGTAGACACTCGACCTGAGACATCTGAAAACATCTCTGCCCGCTTTCATGTATTATATATATATATATATATGGCTTTGAGATCAGACAACCACATGTGGAGGCCTTTGAATTATTTACCACAGGGCATTTTTATACACTGACGTACACACACAAGCACAATGACGACTGTTATGGCTTGTAAATCAAGTTTATGCACAAACACAACGTTTAGAACATTTTACTTAAGAGGGCATTTTTTGTGATGTGTTTTAGCTTTTTACTGCAGACATTTTAATTCAGATTTGTACCATAGTGGAAACCCTCCTCAAGCATTATTTTGAATTATTATTATTATTTGGAATAATTTAATTAATTTGAATGATTCTAATGATTTTTCTTATCCTTATTAGAGTTTAAAAGTTTTTGTGCGGTTTGATGGGTGTTTTCGTTCGTCCTGACCATTTGAATTGGTTTTGACTTAAACATATTTGTGGACACCATTGAGCTAATACATACACCTGTATTGTTACAAATGTTTCACAGGATGTCTAATGTTACTTTCACTGGTCACAATACTTCTACAAAAAGAAAAGCACAACCCTGGACCCCTGAACTCTTCATCCTCTGTTTCCTCTGAGATCTCTCTCTGTTGTACAGATTCACAATTCATTTATTTAAAGAGCGCATGAATGTTCAACATGAAATTGAATCTTCCAATCACTGTGAATCTTTACAATGGACTTAAAGAAGAAAGTGAAGAATTACTCTCTCTCTGAATTGTCAGTTTTTAATAAAAACAATCAGGGGTAAATGACTGGATATAACAAACATGGAGCCAAGTGGAGGCGATATTTAATGTAGTGCTTTACAGTAGCTGTGGCATTGAGTACAACTCCCCCTTGTGGGCTGATACAACATCAGATATGTCAAATCTGTTGACCCTCAAAAAGAAAGCTGTAAAGCAGTGCATCAAAGCCTTCCCTGGAACCAGATCAACAGGACTGTGGTGCAATAATTCCTTATCATTTAATTTGATTTATTTTGTTTTCTTTTCCTCTCCGTTTGTTTGTGTCCATGTGTTTGGCTGTTGTCTTTCCTCAGGAGGTATGTACACCTGCTCTTCCCAAACGCTAGTCCATCTCTCAGCTCTCGGGTGCTTTTTGGTGGTCCGCCATGCTTTTGTTCTATTTTCTCATGTTTTGTAAATGTTCAAGCTGGGCCGCAGATTTTTTTTAATTTTATTTTTGTGTCTCCATTGACTCATTTGATCTTCAGATGTATGTCTGTGTAGTCTGTCATTGGTGGTCCGTCCACACTCTTTAATCTCTGTGGGTGGTTGCTGGGCACTCACCGGGTTCATTCGCCACACCATGGGCTCGGCTCGGGGAGCGGAGGCTTTGTGACCAGTTTGCCTCTCTTTTCTCTGTATGCCGTGGTGGTCACTCTTTGATCTGTGTTTATTTTGAAAGCTGCATTATGCCTTTTTGCCGTACAGTGAGCACAACAAAGGAGTTTCGCTTGACTCTCCAAATTCACCATGAACCCAGTTACTCATTGGCTTATTGTTGTTTGCTCTCTGGTGGCATGGAAAGGGAATAATGCACCGTTTCAACCGTGTGGCTCTGCTCTCCTTATCTTATGATTAAATGGATCTGAAGGATAACAGTGGGGACCGGTGTGGCGCTGGACTGGACCAAACTGTGGGAGAGAAGCGTGGGCAGAGGAGCGGGCTGAAAGGGATTTATTCAGGATTGCTTGCCCATACACATGAAATCTACATAGTTAAGAGGTTTGGTTGTGCATTCTTGTAAGTAATGAATGTTTCCTCTCATAACTACATTTGAACCCTTGTTTTACAAAAACAAGAAGTGAAATGACATGAGAAGCAAACCAGTTTCTAATTTGTCCTTTTGAGAATAATCTTTTCCAACTGAATCAGAAAATCTAGATATGTTTTTAAAAGAGACCCTGTTCCCACCTACCCTCTACTCGCCCAGCCTCTCACAGTCCGGTCTAGCATGGGTGCCCCCCCCCCCCCCGCTCCACTCCGGCAACATGCCCCTGCAACAATCTGCTGGGACGTCCCGCCTCGTCCCAGACATTCTTGCAGGGGAGTTGGTCAGTTGTCTCTTGTGGGAGCTAGAGGAGCTGACATGACCATGAAACCAATCTCAACCTCCGACTGAACCAATCAGCTCGGGCCGTCAGCTGTTTGATTCTGCCATCGCGTCTGTGTTTTTTCTGTTTGTCTGCTTTTTCCTTGGCATCACGCTGACAAGTGGAGATGTGGCGACGGGGCTCTCCATCTCTGCCTGTCGAGTGAAGCGTGTGCCGATGGTGTCTGTAAATTGTAACAAGCATAGACTGAAGTGTTTGCCCTGTCATGACGTCTGTGATTTGATGGGATATCATATACAGTGCCACTGCTGCTATATGATCAAATGTGTGTGTTCTACATGTATACAAACATCCTCTAAGCCTCCTTTATCCGGGTAGATGGGTTTCACAATGCAGCTTTTTTACTAACATTGGTGGTGGGTTAGCCCAGTCTAGACAAGGCTTAGGTCTTTATATCGAGTTCAGAAAGATATCGAGTGCCCCCCCTACTCACCGGACACTGCTACTATAAGCCTTAAGAAGTTATTTAACAAAGCCCCCCCCACTACTTACCGGACACTGCTACTATAAGACTTAAGAAGTTATTTAACAAAGCCAAAACAGGAAATTCTAGTCTGAGATGCCTGTAGAGAAGCTGAGCATAGCTGCAGGCACAGAGCTCAATGAGCCTCTGTTTGTTGGCATCCCATCCTCCCAGAGAGAGTGCCATCTGCTCCTCTGATCAGGTTTCCCCTCGCAGGAAGTATAGGTGACAAAAGGGGTCAGAGGTCAGCTACAGATCAGGGGGTGCAGAGTTAACCAGAGAGCCCCCACTGGGTGCGAAAGAGAAGTTAATCTTAAGTCACTCCTTACTTTCCTCATTCAGCCCTCTGGCAGTCATTTGAGTTCTTGCTTTCCACATGTATACCTGTGTTCTAGTTACTTCATTTGGACAGTAGTTCATTAAGGTCAGTGAGTGCAAAGCAAATGGATCTGTATCCTGTCTATTGATCCTGGCTTTCCACACTCATTCCTCAGTCAGCTATTAATGAAAGAGAAACAGGGCCGAGTTAGCACAGTTCCCAGACACACCAATACATTCATGGAGACGTAGCTTCATCGTAGAGCATTAGGGGAAAGGATAAAGTCAAGTCAAGAAAAAATAACAAAGTAACTGGTGATGGTGAGCGCATTGGTGCAATGGTGGAAGAGGGTGAATCGCTATAGTGGGTAAAAGGAGTCCTCTGTAGCCGTCATCTGTCTGTCTGCCATACATCTGTCTGCCTGTCTGCTGCTCGACCCGGTGCTTCGGTGCTCGTTTCTCTCTCTCTCTCTCTCTCTCTCTTGTTGAGCCTCTCTGACGCTGGCTGTTTGCTCCACAGGGGGACGTGTTAAAACCTGGAAGAGAAGGTGGTTTATCCTCACAGATAACTGCCTGTACTACTTTGAGTACACCACAGTGAGTACAATCAGTTTCTCAGTCACACTGAAGACTGTGCTCCCTCTGTTCTTGTTGTGCCCGTGTGCAGCTCTCTCACTCACAGAGTTTCTGTTTGTCCAGGACAAAGAGCCCAGAGGAATTATCCCCCTGGAGAACCTGAGCATCAAGGAGGTGGAGGATAAGAAGCCTGTAAGTACAGCTCCCTCTACTGGTCATTTATTTAATTTCACACAGTAAGAACTGGTACTTGGAAATCTTACTTCCACCCATTTTCTAAATGGACAATAAAGAAGGATTTTCTTCGGTGCTGCCCTTTTAGGAAGTTAAAAACTGGGATTATTTTTGCTGAATTTTCACTGCTTTGATTTGCACCTACACCACTGTGATATTTGCACACAAAAAAAAATCAAACATAATACATTTAATTGACAATTACATTGACGGGTAGTTTATTTCCTTATTGACAAACAATTGTACTGGGAGTAAGGCCCTCACAACATTATATATATATATATATATATACAGAATACCATAGAGAGGGATTTCTTAATGTGGATAATGTACCTAAATAGAACTGTAGGTAAATTAGGTTTTAGTTGATAGAATTAGTTGATAAATACAGTTATTTATATCTATGCATTATGTGTTCTATATTATCTAACCTCCATCTTCTCCTCTTCTGTAGAACTGCTTTGAGCTTTTCATCCCTGACAACAAGGACCAGGTGATTAAAGCCTGCAAGACTGAGGCTGACGGACGCGTAGTCGAGGGCAACCATACCTTCTACCGTATCTCCGCCCCCACTACTGAGGAAAAAGACGAATGGATGAACAGCATCAAGTAAAACATGTTTCCTTCTCTTCTGAAAGGCCTGGCATTGTGAAGTGCATGTGTGTCACTTACACGTGCGGTTCAGTCGATCCTATTTCTGTGTTTCTTTGAACTTGGAGTAATCAGGCTCTAAGGTCTTTGCTACAGGAACCATAATGTATGAAGGGAAATACAATTCCTGATAATGTTGAAATATGATAAACTTGTGTATTGCAGATGTTAGATGTAGAATCTAATTTGACCACACATAAATTCTTAGCATCATTGTAAATTGAGCCCTACCTGCATGCAAATGTCTGACTTGCCAGTACTTTGAAAGCGCAGGAACATTAACCCCCCCCCCCCCCCCCCCCCCCCCCCCCCCCCTCTGCGTCCGTTTCTACAGAGCTGCCATCAGCAGGGACCCCTTTTACGAGATGCTGGCAGCCAGGAAGAAGAAGGTGTCGTCCATGAAGAGGCACTAGAGCTGCCCTGCGCTCCAGATGTTGCACTTGACAGAGCAGGGGGTCCGGGTATCTGCCCGCCCTGTCTGGGGGGGGTGCAGAGACCGCGGTTTAGGTCTGCCGACCTCTGCAGGGGATTTCTCTAAGACTTGGGACTCTACAGGCCAGAAAAACAGGAAGCATGCTGGGGTTTCTAGATAAGAGTCGGGGCCAAAGTGTCTGTTAACCTCCTCTAACCTCCTCTCTCAGCTTTGTTTGTGCTCTCTGTGTATGAAGCTGAAAGGAAATCTTGCTGTTTAAGACGGCAAACCCCCTTCGAAGATGCTTAAATATCAAACAACATAAATCCCATATACATTGTTGCACACATACAGAACATGCATACACTCATGCAGCCCCCTCGTAGCACACATCCTTTAAACTCAGCAGGTCTGACCGTGTGGCACTCCAACCAAAATATTCCTCGCTTCCTGAAAGAAAAGTGAATCCCTTTTCTGACGTGCTTTAATGTTACAGTAATACGTGTCTATTTTTACAGCTTTAAATGTTGATTCCTCTTTTTGTTTGTTTACTTTTGTTAAGAAAATGGCAACAGAAACTGCAGGGGGGGCGGGTGTGGGAGGAAGGGCGGGAGGGTATGATTTGCCAACTGTTAGTGATTTTATACTTACAAAAAAGAAAACGTAAAAAAGTTGCCACTCAGGAGATTGTTATGACGTTCTGAAACGTTCCACGTGACATGGATCCTGTTCACGACAGCCATGTGAGGAATGAAAGCCTCATCTGTGTCCCGGACTGAACTGTTTTTGTAAATGTGAAGCTGCATTGTGGGATGCTGCAGGTGAGGGTGTCTGGATGGGGTCTCAGAGTTGTGTCTGACTCATGTTCTTCATTTCCTGAAAGTCCTGGAGACGCATCCTGAGGATCAGTGTCTTTTTAAAGAGACAACTGTTTATCACCCCGGGCTTCTTTTTGAGGTTGTCTGGAAATTAGAAATGGTGGCCCTATTTTTCAATTTCACTTCCCATACATTTTTATATAATTTTGTCTTAATACACAAAACTTAATTTCATTGTTAGTAAAGTTACTGCTGCATGGGGCCTGTTGATCTAGATGAAACGTCACGAGAAAAGCTGCTGGTTAGCGACAGTTTCTTCCCCCATTCAACAGAATTTAATCTTTATTTCCTGCATTTAATATTGATTTTCTTCGTAGAGTTACCTATTCAAGGGTAAAACAAATCACATGCATTTTCATCTCTCAGCCAGACCTCATTGATCTTTGTACAAAACTGTGCTTCAGGTTGTTTATGTATAAGACATAATATATGACATATTGTTATAGAGGCTTTAACGCGGCACAAATAAACATGTGGTTCAATAAAAGCTATGCCTGGAAACGAATGGGCTGTCCCGACTCAGGATCCAAATTGTGATGTGAAACAATACAAAACTGCTAGGTGTGAGGAATGTACTGCGCTGAACCAAAAGATGGAGGTCAGGATGGCGTATGGTGATGCTGAAGCAGTCGTTTTGTCGAATGGCAAACTCAACTGCGTGGAGGTACAATTTTGCATCACAGTCGGTTGTCTTTTCTACTGTCATCTGTGCCTGCTGCTCATCATCCTCACTCACTGCCTCTTTTGGTTCTCTTCTTCTCTCTGCTCTTCTACGCACTAATCCTAGGGAAATTATGAAAAATGCAAAACAATCATAATTCTAGACAGTATTGGTTTATTTATCAAAGTTGTACATATTTAAAATGTATAGTGGGTATGTTGTCTTCATTTTGTTTCCTATTAGCTGTGCCATTTTCTTTTGGTATTCTGTTTAATAATGTTTGATTTGAGGTTTGTATCATTGCCATTTAATCAAGCTAAAAATAAAGACGAATGTGTCACAACACTGGCTATGGAAATCTTTTACACAACCACAAACTCCTTCAGATCTCTCTAGTAAAGTCTCTCCAGCAGGGGGCAGTGTGTGATCAGCAGCGATGGTCTTTCTGCTGCAGGGACAATTCAAATACTGAAGCAAACTAGAAAGATAACTTGTATTTTTATATTGCTTATTAGTTGCAACCAAATTACAGTTATGCCTCAGCAACACACATTAAAGTGTGGCCATCCTGCTGTATGTCTTTGAATACTGAATGCTACTTAAGGGCAGCCTTGGAATTGAATCATTCCTTCTCTGGTGCACAACTGCCAAAAATTGCGTTACTCTAACCACATTTACCCTGTGTTAAACAAAAAGCACATTCTCCTGCCACTGTTTGAATCCAGTCTCATGCAGCAACGCAACATTTCCTATATTTATAAAGCTTGCATGCACGTATTTATGGCACAAATGTCGGCGCAGCAGGGAAAGGTCGATATTTACAAGTGAATATGTATCATATTAAATGATGCCTGGAAAAGCAATCAATATAAATGACTTTCTCAATGGAATGGGCATTCAGGAAATGTAGTTGAAAATACATATGCATATCTTTGGATTTCTGTTGTCTAGTAATCTAAACTTGGATTTTATAGGTTTAAATAAATGACTATTTTAAACTTGTTGAGATTGTTTACCTCTATATGAATAAACGACGGGGCTGTTGCCAAAAAGTCTCTGTGAGAAGTTGAAAAAGTGATAATGATGTTTTCATCTTGCATTCAACATTATGTCTGTAAGTATGATTGATAGCATTGTAAATGTGTAACTTGCAGACAGAGTAAACCACTGTTGAAAGCAGTTTGGGTCGACATTTCAGCTACAGAAGCACTTCGTAGTAACACAGATTAACTTCAGTCTCTGTTGAACATGCACAGTGAATGCTAAATGCTACTGACATGCAGTGTAGTTACAGAGCTGCAGAGGCCCATGGGTAATGTTGAGTAGTAGGTACAGTGATAATGTGAAACGGTTCTCTCGTATGAGTTTATTGAAGTTGAGACATGTTTATCTGAACTGAGAGAATTGCTTTCAAAAGTCCTTTAATCTGTGAAAGATTAAAATATTGTTTTTCCCACAAAACAATATTGTATATTCACCTCTGGGCAATTGCCTGCAGTGTTTGGAGGGAACTTGGGTGCAAATTGTGAAACAATTTATTCCAGATGTGCAGTGAATACACATAACGATTGCAAAATTAGATTCCTGTTGTGCATCCTTGCATAATGATATTAAAGGGGACCTATCATGCAACATCCACTTTTTCATGTCTTTTATACATAAACATGTGTCACCTCTGAGTAAAGAGATTCTGAAAGTTTCAGGAAAAAAGATTCACTCTCTTTTTGTCCTGATCCATTTATATAAAAACTAGGGCTGTCAGTCGATTAAAATATTTAATCGCGATTAATCGCATGATAGTCCATAGTTAATCGCGATTAATCGCAAATTAATCGCACATTTTTTATCTGTTCTAAATGTACCTTAGAGGGATATCTTTCAAGTTTTTAATACTCTTATCAACATATGAGTGGACAAATATGCTTTATATGTTTGTTTATTATCATTTGAACAATGACAAATATTCTCATGAATATTAAACACAACAACCTGAACATTACAAATATTCGCCTCAATTCAACCTGGAACCTCTCTCATACAATAATACTGTGTGTGTGTGTGTGTGTGTGTGTGTGTGTGTGTGTGTGTGTGTGTGTGTGTGTGTGTGTGTGTGTGTGTGTGTGGACACTGTGATGGATCGTTGAGCTATGTGCAGCTCAAGGCATATATGCTCGAATGGGAGCTGCCTGGACGCTGCAATAATGTTGCGCTGACTTTTCGTACAATGTCCCACTGTCTGGCTACCTGCATAAAGTCAAGTGCTCGGCGCAGTTGTCGGCGAAATGTCATTGAAACAGCTCCTTATATCCGTTAGCGCAGCTAGCTAGCACCAGATGCTAACAACAACACGTAGGTGTGCCTCGCTCGCGCGAGTCGCGCCACACATACACACTCCCTCCCGGTCCTCCCGATGGCCAGTCCGGGCCTGCCAGTGAGCGTGGAAGTGTGGTCTGCCACAAGCGGGCGGCAGGAGCGGGGCTGTCAGCATCAGCTTGTCGATGGTATTTTACACTCGATGCGCTCTGAAACTATGGCGGCCGAGGACAAAAAATACACATGCGTTAATCGCGTTAATCGCGTTAAAATAATTAGTGGCGTTAATTTTTTTTTGCGTTAACGCGTTATTAACGCGTTAACTTGACAGCCCTAATAAAAACCTGTCTGAAAATGAGCTGATCAGATTTTGGACACTTTATGATTTCATAACGAATTTTTTTGGCCTCTTTAACCATTAGCCAATAACCAACCAAGGAAACACCCCCCACCGTATCAACTGAATCTCCTCCTAGAGCTCCATTGTGTTCTTTTTAACCAAATATCTCCCAGAGGGGCGTGGGGAGTGGCTCCTTATTTTCATCTAAAGATAAAAGATAGAGAATCAGCACTTTTGAAACAGGGCTGAAACAGAGGGGATTATGGGATGCTACAATGCATGATCTGTTTGGTATTTCGAGCCAAACACTTCAATGACATGTTTTGTATATATCTGAGATCTATAATATATTGATGAAAAACAGTATAATAGGGGACCTTTAAATAAAAAGATTTTGGTTGGATTGGAAACAGACCGTACGTATTTTTACACAACTGGAGTAAAAAAACCTTTAGCACCACTGCTATAAAACACGATCATAAAGACGATTTTGAGAAACACAATGCAGGGCCAAGGACATGAACGCGAATGATGGGAAATGAGAGGCATGTTGCTGGGGCATGAAAAAGAGTAGAGAATGTGTTGTGGTGGTGAGGCAGCAGGAACCTTTTGTTTTTCACCATCTTCACTTCTCATATTTCTCAGTGCAGCACGGATATGCAGGCTGTTCTTGTACGTGTTTTTGTTAGAGTGAGGTTTCTGAGTGCGTGACAAGGGGAATGTGATATACTGTTGGAAGGGGAGGTTTCATCATTCATGACCCAGAATGAGTTCACAGGGAACAATAGTAGGAGGGTGCTTGCGCTGTACAGAAAGGAGATCCTTGGAACAAACTGTACCGAAAGGTCCAATAATTTAAAAAACATAATATAATGCTCAGTACCTGACCTCACCGCGCTGAAACACAGCAGACCACATCACTCAGCCATGCTGTCATGTCAGGCCTGCTGGTGAATTCTCTTCTGTGTGGTTATGCTGATGAAGGGGGAAAGGCCTGGTTTCTGCAGCCGCTCTCATAGGCCAGGCAGAGCCATCCTCTGTGTCCTCCAGTAAGTGGAGACATGTGAAACCAGTCAGGCTCCAATTAGGCCCAGACTGTTTCCCAGAAGCGCTTGAGGCCTCCCCCTGCCTCCCAGCCCACCGCGGCGGGAGCAGGGAGCACCCCACAGTGTCCGGGGCTGACCTCAGCTGGCATGAGAGGAGCCCTTTCTCGTATGAGGCAAAGAATGTTACACACAGACAGGCCTGGGCACACACCATACCTGTCATGCAAACCTAAATGCATCACATGTGGTGGATGTTTTCAAACCTGTTCATAGCTGCATAAAATTAGCTTCAACAGGTTTCTACGTTAGTTACGCTTAGTTAATTTAAGGGACGATTTAAGCCAAATTAAAGCTGTCAATCCTGAAAGTCACAGTTGTTCTTAGACAATAACAAGCTGTTAAGGCCAATTCAGACATCAGATTGCACCATTGGAATGTTTTTACAAAAAACACCTGATTGGAAGCTCATACTCACATTATTTTTGCAGATACCTTATAAACCAGCGTTTGAGGTGCGTGTACACTTCAGGTGCTGTGTTGGCAGAGGAATTGTTGCTTTACTGGAAGAATAAATCCTTCTCAAATCACTTCAGGAATCTCTTACTCTGCTAAAGGACACTGAATTCATCCCTGGGGCAGGATTTCTGAGAAAGGGAGTTAAAACAACCACAACAAAGTCTCGCCCTCCCCTTCCCCGTTCCACTATCTCTCGCTTTATCTCTCTGTCGCTCGCTTCTTCACACAGTCTTAATGCAAACACCGGAGTGTAAGCCACAGCTGAAGATGAGGTAATAACGCTGATAGTGAAAATAAATAAAACAATGTCTTTGGTTCAGTACAGCGAGTAAAACACTAGAGTATATCATTTATTTGTTTTGGTTTAAGGCATTTTCCCACAAACATGGAGTTGCATGAAAGTTTGCAACACATCTCATTAAAACTAGTTGGAGAACAAAAGAAAATAAAGATTTACGACCGTGCGTTAGTTGGAACTCTGAATTATAAAAAAACTGAAACTTGCTTACCATTAAACTATGGTAAAAACACCAGGCAGCTGCTGTCTGCATGTTTACTTTTTGTGAATAAATAACTTTAGGCTTATGTTTGAGATGAGATAGTCCCTCTCTTCAAATAGAATGCAATTATCCAAAAAGCAAACACTTCCAGGAATCACAAGGACTTCCTTAGGCGAAACGATTACCTATGATATTGGTAAGGAAATTAAAAGGGTGTAAAAACAAACGGGTTCTGTTTCACTTCCTGTCAACACACTTCTGGTTGAACAGAAGCATGCTTGACTGCATGACCCTAGTTATAAACAATAGACATAGTATAGTACTGGAACTGTTTTACAGACAGGCAGTTTAGTTTAAACGACAATTACTGGAAATTAGGGGTAAAATTGAGAAACAAGTTTAAATTAAGTATGTGTTCCTGAATTGATTTTGAACAAATAGAACAGTGCACACCAATTACATTTACTGGAAACGTTTTTCTTGTAATATTTTTGGTAGTGAACTTGCTGATGCAGGGTCTGCAGAATAACTGTGTGAACAACGCAGAGGGTTGTTTGTCCCAGTGGGAAAATGGTATTGTGGGATGTTTTCCTGCAAATTCATTGAACTGTGGGTGGCTTTTATTCTG